TATACCTCAAAAGCCTGAGATTACAGTGGAAGGACATCGAGTTAATGTTCATGACTAAATAACCATGGTACCGTACAAAATGCTCAGCATGATTGATCAGAGGCTGAAACAGCTTAAGGGTAACCCTAAGCTCGACATCCTCCTGTTTGGTGATCTCATGCAGCTTCCTCTCGTGCATGGCAGCGCAATGTTCGATCAGCAGGAAATGATGCCACCAGAAACCTATTTGTGGCAGAAGTTCTCTTTTGTGAGCTAACTCAGAACATGCGCCAACAAGGAGACACGTTTATTGAATTGCTGAATGATTTGAGGATCGGCCAGATCAAAAGTGAGCAGATCAATCTTTTTCTTGAAAGAATTGGAGGACAACGGCTTGGGATAATTTACCCTTGAAAAGCCCTGCATGAAAATACATATTGAGAGGAAACCACCCAGTTTTATTCAGCACATCAAATTGCAGGTCGGGGGTTCGATCCCGACCCTGACGCCTGTATATTTGGAGTTTGCGTGTCTCTCGTGGTCACGTGGATTTTTATCCAGGTCCTCCGGTTTTTCCCCTCCACGTTCAGAAACATGCGTTAATATTATTGAGATACTTTTGGTGCTATAATATCCAGATGGGCCACTTTGTTGAGGTATCATTAATGGCCAGGTCTCTTTTGAAAAAGCAGTCACTGCCTCAGTGGCTTTGCCTGGTAGGATGGGGTTGGTTTAGTTTTATTTGTGTGTGTGTGGGTTATTTGTTTACCTTTCTTGTACTTTGCACTACTTAAATGTTTTTGTACTATTTGTTGCTGTAATATTCTAACCCGCTCCGACAGGAAATCTGTGAAACGGATACTCTGACCGCACCATCCGCCAAGCTGTTTCTCCCACCATACAGAAACAGCCACTTGAAACTCCGATCAAAACTATCACGTTGCCATACATAGCAGGCGTGACCAAAAAGATCTCCAAAATTCTAAACAAACATAAGATCCAAGTCCGATTCAGTACAGTACATAAAATGCGTGATCTAATTCCATCTGTGAAGGATGTCATCCCTGACTTGCAATACCCTGGAGTCTATAAACTGAGTTGCAGCTGTGGTGATTGTTACATTGGGGAAACGAAACGTCATGTCTCTGATCGTGTCCGCGAGCACAAGTCAGATTTGAAAGACGGCAAAATTGAGTCTTCCGCCGTTGCGGATCATTGCTACAACGCGGTGGGCTCTCATGATATTGTTTTTTCCGAGACCAAGGTGCTCTGCAAACCCTCTGGCTACCATCAATGGTTTGTACACGAAGCCATTCAGATATACAAATACAGACATAATTCAACCGTGTTGATGGGTACAAACTTAGTAATGATTGGAAAGATGTTATTAACCATGCAAAAAAGATTTAACTACACATTTTTGGACCATCTTATCTGACAGGCACTATTTTACTTTACCGAGTGTTAACATCCCCAGCGTTAAACAGTACTCTCTTTATTGTCAGCCAACACTGGTATAAACAACATGGGCATTTTCGTTCTCTTCTATCATGTGCACCAACAGGTGCTTGTGCACAGGCATGTCCACGTACACCTTGTGCTCTCTTTTAGCCCCCCCCCCCTTCCAATACGTTATCATGCGCACCAACAGGCACTTGCGCACAAACACGTCTACGTCTACGTGCACCTCGTGCTCTCTTTTAGCCCCGCCCCCTCCCTCCGATACGTTCCATTCATTGGCTACCACATTCTGATAAGCTCCCCCTCTCCTCCCCCTTAACTGGTATTTAAGAACTTACATCTTGGAATCCCTGCCTCACTTGATACAGCAAATCTGGCTGTGACGGTCCCACCTGATGACGGAGACTTGTGTTGCCTCCGAAACGTCGTGATTTTTTATTTTTTTATGAATTTTAATTTCATTTTTTACCTACGTGACGTTACCGAAAAAACTAAGAGTGTGAAAAAGAGCTTTATAGCTCATCAGATTCCTCCAGTAGAAATAAATAAATATTCTGATTACGGCACGTTGACTGATTTGCTGGTGCGTGACCAAGCACTGGAAGTGTCCGAGAGACGTACGGATATATTTGTGAAAGCAAAACCCTAAAAGTGTGCAAGTCTGTGCTTAGCGACGCTTGGGGGGCTCATGATCGTACCTATGGCATAGGGAGACGAGACAGAAGACTGACCAGGTGATACATCTAGCAGAGGAATTGGACGAGGAGATGACATTCGCAGTACATCACAATCGATGCTCACTTTTGCTTAGATTTGTCAAATATGGTAAGATCAGGCCCATTCTAGGTGACTGATATTTTAGTCTACTCTAACCAGTGTGGCGAAATATTTCATTTTTACTATTTTATTTACCAGGTAAGGCCCACTGAGCAATACTGTATAGATATTTTTCAGAAGCGACCTGGCTATCACAAAGTATTCCTATTCAAAATTGTTTTTTGGAAATGTAGAGCAGCCAAATGCTCTAAACGCACGTACATGTTAAATGTGGACACAGAACCCGGGAAAAAAATTCCACAACCACAGGGAGAACATGCAAACTCCAAATATACAGGCTCCTGTATACCAGGCGAGGTAGTTACCATATAGCCACCGTGGATTAATGGGACGGCATGAAGACGTTTTCATCCAGCAGTGAATTTATAAAGGACTGTAAATTATTTAATTTTACAAAATAATGTTATTTAAAAAAAATCCTGTTTTGATTTATAAAGTTTATCAAAAAATGTTACCCATTTGGTCGATTTTTCATGAAAAGTGAAGTACTGTACCACTGAAGGGGTTGGTTTTCCACATTGTAACATGTTCATATACCACCATCATCCATTTGTATTTTATTTAACAGCCACTCTTGTAGATGTCATTCTTCATGGATCTACTCATTCCGTATGCTCGCGAGACTGTTGTAAACCTATTTAATCCTCAATCACTCACAATGTGCCTTTGACGAAATCACCCAGAATGCATCCAAGATGGTCACATCTTGGAAGCTAAGCAATGTTGATCCTGGATAGTGCTTGTATGGGTGACCACCGCACACAAATCAGGTGATATAGGCTTATGTGGGACTACGTTGACTGCATAGCATAGTGCAGCAAATAAACGGTTGTACAGTCCTCTGCTCCAACGCCTGAACTCCCTGCCTTCCCGCAACCTGTGCTGACCAGCTGGTCAATGCGGTCAAATAACTCGACTTGACTTGCAAGGTGTGAGGAGACCCTCATCCAGCGGTGGAATGACAAAAGCGGTTGAAAGTGCACCTAATATATCATACATAATGTGGTGTTAAAAAAATCCACTGATGTGAAATATCATACTAATTGTCTGGGCTCCACCTCACTGATTGCACAGTATTCCCATGTAATTTGCAGTCGCCCAGACACATATCTCCATGTGAGCGTTCGTAATGAGAGACACGTGACCACAGAACCACGAGAGCGTTATTGGACACGTGATACCCGAAACGTATAAAAGAGGGGGTTCGCGCGCGGCGCACTGAGCTCTCTGCTGCGGACATCCAGTGGCACCACGGTGAGTTTATACAGCGGGGCTTGGGCGGGTGTTTAATCTGCACTCTTTCACGCCTCCTAAGCTAAAACATGTTTTAATAACGTTTGTACGTTTGCGTGGTAATAACATTCCGTGCGTATTACGTCTCTAAAAAAATAAGCATGTTTAGTTTCATCCAAAATAAGACGCCTGATTTTACGTGTAATTTACCAGATTACTTCAAAAATATTCTTAATGTTTATTGAATGCAGTGTGGTCTCAGAGTACGCAGTCTGACACTTGTGACTCGGACTATTGCTACACGCACGGAGCGGGAAGCAAGGAGTCACATCACCCCACCATCACGCGCACGTGGATTTGAGGGCGTGTAACTATATCGCCCGCGCAATAAACGAGTCAAAAGAAATGTGTTCCATCTGACCTGGATGTTACCGATGATTCGTGAATCATTTGCTGGACAGTACTGTACATTATTAAACATTTACGTACATTTATATACATTTCTTTCCACTCTTACAATTTTTTACTGTATTGTATGTTAACAAAACGTGTCAGAAATTTTCACTTTTGGAAATGCATTTTCAATACTTGACTTTCCATATCTGCACATTTTAATAAGCGCTTCATTTTGTAGTTCATGAAATCTCCCACCATAAATACTTTGTAGATACAAGACAAAACCATTTGAAATTACAAAGTCGATACGTGAGACTGCGAATAAAAATTGCTGACATTGAATGAATCCACTTCAATACAATCAGGGTACAAACACTCTTACTCAGCACAATCATCATCATTAGCCGTGATCAATCTAATGATTAATGGATTTCAAACGCTGTCGTCAAATCTTACATTCTGATGCTAAAACACATTTAGGTCCTGAACCTGAGCCAGTTTCATAAATCCATCTTTGCAGTGGATATCCAATCGGGCGAGGCCACTCGTTGATCGGCACCACTATAGTATTTTATAGCAACGGGTCCTCGAGAGAGAGCCTCTAGTGCAGGGGTGGGAACCTTTTTTTCTGACAAGAGCCATTTGGATATTTATAACCTCATTCGCGGGCCATACAAAATTATTAACTTAAAAATTAGCCTGTTATATTTGGTCAAACATTTAATTAACTCGCCCCTAATGTGATGGCTGGAACTGGTATTGATGATGTTGCTACTCGCAACTGCTTTTCCGGGTTTTCTCCTAGATTGATTGAATTTCGAGTCCCGCCTGCGGTTGCCTTGGCAGGGTCAGACCAAATGATTTCGCGGGCCTTATACGGCCCGCGGGCCGGACGTCCCCCTCCCCTGCTCTAGAGGGTATTTGTTCTACTCTTCCACTCTGACCAGACCTATTGGAACAGGTAGTGGTACTCACCCTTTGCCCCAACATACGCAACCTGTAAGTATTATAATAAATTGATTATAAATTTCATTTAAAACAATCCCCTCCTTCTGTGCCTCTCTTCGAACACCAGTTGTTGATCAGCGTCGGCAATGGAGAAAAATAGCTCGGCGTTCTACCTCTCCACGTTCGAAGCCTCGTACTCCGTGCAGATGGTCATCTTTGGCCTCTGCCTGCCGCTCTATGCGGCCACAGTTGTAGCCAACCTGCTGGTCTTCTTGGCGGTGCTCATGTGCCCCGAGCTGCACAAGCCCATGTACTTGTTCCTGGGAAACATGGCGATGGCCGACATCGTCGGCTGTACAAGCATCGTGCCCAAGCAGCTGCAAATCCTGCTGACGGGCGACGGCGAAATCCTGCGCGAGTCTTGCCTCATGCAGATGTTTTGCCTTCACGTGTTCTGTAACGTCGAGGTGCTGACGCTATCGGTCATGGCTTTTGACCGTTATGTGGCCATCTGTCACCCGCTGCGCTACCACACCATCATCACAGCCAAGAAGACGCTCGGTGTGCTGATGCTGATGTGGATGGTCACCTCGGCGGTTTTTGGGGCCCTCACATTCCTCGCCGCCCAGCTAAAATTCGGCAATAATCGGAAAATCCAAGGAATTCTGTGCGATAACATGGGAATGATTTTGTTGGCTGAATCGGACACCAATATTAGTTATGTATACGGCTCGATAATCATGCTGATCTTTTTTATCTTACCACTTGTTTTCATAAGCTACAGCTACTTAAAGATATTTATTGAGTGTCGCATTAAACGATCTACTGAGATTACCAAGCACGGTTTGAACACTTTGCTGACACACTTCTTGGCGCTGTCGATGTTTTTCTTCGCGATTTTTGTTTCCGCCTTAACGCCTCGTTTCATCAAAGATTTCAACACCCCCGCTCTGCGAAACATGAGGTGCCTTTTCCAGTTCGGTGCGTTTATTGTGCCGATGGCGAATGTGCTGATCTACTGTATACGCACCAAACAGCTAAGGAAAGGAATGAGGATGTGTTGTAAAAATGCATTCTTTGGTACACTTTTTCCAACATTTTCAAAAGTCTCAAATGTAAGTTAAATTCAGTTTTCAAGAGAAACCGACCGTAGGACACCATACATATGAACTGGAGAACTTCCACTGTTCGAATGTTATTTAGCAAGCTACTGTAATCATGTATCCTTAAGCTTACATTTTAATGAAAAAATACACGAGTGGCAAGTTATACGAAAGCTCATCTCTTACCCTCCATGCCCCACCTCCACCAACTTACACTGGCGAGAATGGCCAAGTCTGGTCAAAAGATCCAATGATCGACAGTGTGGGAAGGCTTTCATTCACTGATTTATTGAGAATGCTTGGAATGATGTTAACACAAATATCACGCACATGTCCTTTGCAATACTTACGTAAGGAACCACTGCTTAAGTGTAATATTCGAGTGCGATGTGTAACCGTGGATTATGGTGTTGAGTTAAACAATACCCTATGAAGGCTGATACATTTAATGTAAATGTGTTCAATTGTTTAAAAAAAATGTTTTTTAGTTTGCTTAGTTTTGAGCTGCATTTGTTGACAATTGTTTTTGAGTACAGGCAGAGCTCGCCGGACGTTACGTTCTTGGAAAATGCCGTGTTGGGCAAAATGCGTTCGACAAATAATAGACGTTACGGGGAAAATCGAGTTGTGTTCCTTGGTTATAAATGATCACTCCCTCATTGTTTAATTAATGCTCCGATATTTGCCTCCCTTGTTATAATAGTAAAGGATGCTGAGTCGCTCTCCATGTCTTTTGTGTGTGTGTACACTTTATTTTATAATTCCACCTCGACATAAAACCACCGTCTCCATTCATCTTCCTGCACCGCGGCACTCACGCCCGATGCTCGCCCCTGACACTCACTTGTTCACGGTTCGCCCTCTGGGCATACATATGACTCGTGTCAGCAACTGGACGGTTTGGTGCAAGCGGCAACGCGGGGACATTTGCGTTGTGCATTTATCCGGGAGCGTGTTGATTCGCCATCGAGGCGTCCGTCTGACTGACGACCTTAACGAGTGGACAGCGAGATTAAGGCGGCAAAATGTGTGTGGACATTTGCGTTGTGCCAGTTGTGCATTTTGTGTTTAGATTATCACGCGAAAAAACATACAACCGCCATTCGCCACTAAGTGGCGGTCACGTCACCATGGCGCTTGTGCCAGACTAGATGCACTTTAAGGCCACGTGAAAGTGTTGAACGCCCGCTGGCAGGTCACAGGACAAACCCTGGTGCTATGGGTTGACAGATGACTGGCCGGTGCGCCATCTTTGTTTTATATGCCCGGCGCTCCGCTCGTTGTTGTGAGCATCATTCTCCTGCCCTCCGTTGCTGGAGGGCGTCTGCCTACGAACTGTCCAGTTGTGTCCTTCACGAGCCTCCTCCACAGAGGCGATCTTGACACCAGTCGTACCAGTCATTGGTAAGTCGTCCGCTCAATTTTCTCTTGTACCACATAATTCCATCTCTTCTTTAACCTGTGCCGCGCCCGTTTAGCCCTCTCTATCTGGACAAACAATAGCTGTTTGGGCATGCAGTGGCTTGGCATGCATTCTATGTGAGCCAGCCAACACAGCCTTGCCTGTTGGAGAAGCTTACCGATGGGACTCCAGATATTTCTAGGATTTGTGCGCTCCTGACAATCCAGCCTGGTTAAACCGATGATGGATCAAAGCAGGCCAGCCTGAATGTATACACACACACACACAAGCATGGTAAATAAATCACAGTCGATTCATTCACACCTATTGGATGCAACACTCTTACTGTTCGACGTAGAGATGAGAATCCGAGCAGAGTTTGAACGGCATATACAGTGAGGGGAAAAAATATTTTATCCCCTGCTGATTTTGTACGTTTGCCCACTGACAAAGAAATGATCAGTCTATAATTTTAATGGTAGCTTTGTTTGAACAGTGAGAGACAGAATAACAACAACAAAATCCAGAAAACGCATGTCAAAAATATTATAAAATGGTTTGCATTTTAATGAGGGAAATAAGTATTTAACCCCCTCTCAATCAGAAAGATTTCTGGCTCCCAGGTGTCTTTTATATAGGTAACGAGCTGAGATTAGGAGTACACTCTTAAAGGGAGTGCTCCTAATCTCAGCTTGTTACCTGTATAAAAGACACCTGTTCACAGAAGCAATCGGATTCCAAACTTTCCACCATGGCCAAGACCAAAGAGCTCTCCAAGGATGTCAGGGACAAGATTGTAGACCTACACAAGGCTGGAATGGGCTACAAGACCATCGCCAAGCAGCTTGGTGAGAAGGTGACAACAGTCGGTGTGATTATTCGCAAATGGAAGAAACACAAAAGAACTGTCAATCTCCATCGGCCTGGGGCTCCATGCAAGATCTCACCTCGTAGAGTTGCAATGATCATGAAAACGGTGAGGAATCAGCCCAGAACTACACGGGAGGATCTTGTCAATGATGTCAAGGCAGCTGGGACCATAGTCACCAAGAAAACAGTTGGTAACACACTACGCCGTGAAGGACTGAAATCCTGCAGCGCCCGCAAGGTCCCCCTGCTCAAGAAAGCACATATTCATGCCCGTCTGAAGTTTGCCAATGAACATCTGAATGATTCAGAGTGTAGTAGGTTCAATGAGACTTGGACGACGTAGTCGGAGGCACACTTATTTATTAAACGTTTCACTCAATACAGGCCAAGGTATACAACACTCGAAGGGGTATCGGCCCCTTCACCCATCTAACAGGGAGATCCCACTATCTCTATCCCGGCTAGCCTACTCCCAGGTCCTCCACTACAGAGCTAGGGGAGGCTAGCTGATCCAGCTCTGGCCAAGCTAGGATCACGGCACCCTTAGTCACCAGACCGGCTCTTACAAGAGCATCGGCTCTGGGCTCTCGGGCCACGCCACTGGCTTGCCCTGGTCGGTCCTTAGAAGGACAGCGATCCAGGGGAGTCCCAGGGCCTATCTAGCCGGTCTTCCTTCTTCACTGGTTTAAGCTAAACACTGAACCCCGAGCCCACCGGCTCACCGCCTTATATAGCAACTCCCCCCCCGAGGGGTGGGGCCGTGGGGGATCACAGCGCCGTTTCAGCCCCCCAGGCTAAACGATGCGGACGTGGATGTAAGCATCCTTCCGCGTGCGGGCATAACCACCCCTGGTGTGTTTGTTCGCCCTCCCGTAACACCTCTACATCACCCCCCCCCCTGTACAGCCCGCAGCCGTCCCGGCTGCAACAAAATTCACAATAAAGATGCATCCCCCCAAACCCGTGTGTGCCTCGCGTAACTAACATCAACAACAACAACAAATAACAACAACACTACGAGAGAGAAAAAATAACCCGACGCACCCCCCCCAATAAATACCCCATCCCGTAAGAAACCAACATATGTACAATTTCAAGGTCCCCCACCCCGCGACCCCAGCAAGGGCTGCACGAGCGGCCGACCTCACAAAAGTCTGCGCGTTTTGGCGCGCGTTCTTGCAGCGGGACCATCACAAGGGGCAGCCCCGGTGGGTGTCAATAGTTCGGGTGCGAGAGTGTCTGGCTTCGCCGACGAGCGACCCCCGACCCCCCGGGAGGGGTTGGCGGTCGCGAGCACGTCAATCCTGGTGCACCTGGAAGCGGAACAGTCGGTGGCAAGTCAGGCGAATGCAGCGAAGTCGGACTCCGGAAGTCGGTGGACCCCTCACATGTTTGGCCATGCGTGTGTGTGGAGAGGAACATGGGGCGCAACGAACGGTTTCAACCGCGAGGGGTGCACGAACCACCGACGCTTCCCCCACCGGATACGTACACATTGTGGCCGCAAGACCTGCACCACTTCCACGGGCCCCCGCCACGGCCGCAACAGCTTGGACGAGGTCGCCAGCGGAACTTGGGGACAGTGCAACCACGCCTTGTCACCCGGTTTCCACTGGAGCACATGTACCCGGCCCAGCTTGAGCCTTTCATTCGCCCTCTGGCGGAGGTCTGAATTTTGGATGGCCGCCTCCCGCGCCTCTGTCAATTTAGAGATGTTGAATTTGACATGGTCGGCCAATTTGGATTTAGCATGCGGCGCGGAGATCCGCAGCTGAGTCGCGACAGGCGGGTTAGCCTCGCGACCGTACATTAGGAAGAAGGGCGAAAATCCGGTCGCCGCATGAGGAGCCATTCTGTAGGCCGCCAAAACCCCCGGAATATGAAGGTCCCAGTCGGTCTGGGATTCAGACACCTGTTGAGACAGCATGGACGTGATAGTCCGATGCAGACGCTCCACCATCCCGTCAGTTTGCGGATGATATGGGGAGGTACGGATTTTTTTCGTACCCAGGAGCTCGCACACCTCGTGGAGAAGTTTACCCGAGAAATTTTTCCCCTGGTCGGTCAGCAGCCGCTCCGGAGTACCTTTGTCGAGGACGTAGCCCTGGACAAAGGCCTCCGCGATGGCTGCTGCCGACTGGTTGGCGAGGGGCCAGGCCATAGGCCATCGCGTAAAATATTCCACCCCGGTCAATAGGTATTTATTTCCCCTAGGTGTAGCGGGGAATGGGCCCAAAATATCAAGCGCGACGAGTTCGTTAACCCGGGAAACCTTGATAGACTGCAATGGTGGGTTGGACCCCTTGCTGGTGGCTTCCGTTGCGCGCACTGAGTACAAGACCCTAAAGATCATCCACGTCCCTTGCCATGCCCGGCCAAGAAAAATCCAGCTGGAGCATGGCAAGGGTTTTGTGAGTCCCCAGGTGCAGGAGTCGCTCGTGAGCAGCCCACACCACTCTACCCCTCAGTGTGGAAGGCACCACCAGCCGGTGGCGGCGGGATCTCCCGTCCCAATGCATCAAGAGACCCTGGAACAACCCCCACGAGTCGACATTTTCCACCCCCCGACCAGATCCCCCGATGCGACGGCGCAACGCGAGGAGGGAGGTGTCCTCCATTTGGAGGCGCCCCCACTCCGCAACAGACAATCCCAGCAAGGAATCCCTCCCTTCTTGCTCAATAGGACCCGCAATTGAAGGCGCATCAGCGGCGGCCGCAAGGACCGAATCAGAGATTACATTCGGAGGTC